AGATAGATAGATAGATAGATAGATAGATAGATAGATAGATAGATAGATAGATGATAGATAGATAGATGATGGATGGATGGATGGATGGATAGGTAGGTAGGTGGGTGGATGGATGGATAGATAGATAGATAGATAGATAGATAGATAGATAGATAGAAAGAAAGAATGAGGAAGGGAGGGAAAAGATTTGAGCTGTGAATGATGGCACACTTAGAAAGTAGAATCAGGTGGATCTTGTTCAGCCTGGGCTACACAGCAAGACAAGATCTTGTCTCCAAAACTAAAACAGCAACAACAGAAACAACGACTTAGAAGTGCTTTGTGTTAGTTCATACAGCAGTCATAGGCTATCTATAGCGTTTCACTGCCCTTTGGTTTTTTTAACCGGTCACTTCTTTTTCAATCCAGTTTAGTAGTACAGTTGGCACGAGACCTGCAGACTGACTTCTATCCACACTTCGAAGACTTCTTCGTGACCATCACCTCCATCCTGGAGACGCAGGACACGGAGCTGCTAGAATGGGCTTTCACCTCGCTGTCGTACCTGTACAAGTACCTGTGGCGGCTGATGGTGAAGGACATGCCCAAGATATACAGGTGATATTCCTGTATGCAGATATACAGAAGATATTCCTTCTGCAGTCCGCATTGATTTGCCTTCTTCCTTTGCTCTGCCCCCCCCCCCCGACTCCAGAGCACCTCCCTGGTGCGGTGCTAATTACTTCCTTGCTCAGAGCTGGTTTGCCAGACACTGGTCTATGTGGTGGTCTGTCCGTCTGCAGTGTGTAGCACACCTACTTAGTTTCCTCACCGCCTCTTGAAACTATCCCCACCCATCCAACTGGACCTGGAGTTCATCATGTTAGCAGCCCCCACCCCATAGGAGCCGTGATACCTTTGACTTCTGTACCCCTTTGGCTGTGTTTTGTTCTGTTTCTTTGATTAGGTCACACTAGCTTTTATTGTAGCTCTTCGCAGAAGTGTAACCTAGCGCCCCGGTGCCTCTGCTTGGAGTTCAGAGCTGCGTGTTTACCAGGGCAGCTTTATCCATTGCTTCCTAGCCGTCTCACTGCTCTTTGAGATGAGATGTACCTCTTCCTCCTTATTATTTCCTGAGTGTGGTTATTTATTTCTTCACTTCACACCGAATCCATACCGCCTTTCTGAATTCTCTGTGGGTTTCACCATTGCCTGAAGCTTTCTCTGAAGACCAGCATCACTTAGCCTACACTGTTGTCTCCGGCCTCTGCCTTCTGCCTGGCATTGGGCTGTCTCTGATCATACGTGCCTTCCCAGCGCTGTCGACCTCACTGCCGACATGGGGTACGCCTGTACTAAATGACTCTGTTTTTCTCCTCCAGCTTGTACAGTGCGCTCTTGGCCCACAAAAAACTACACATAAGAAATTTTGCTGCCGAAAGTTTTACTTTTTTGATGAGAAAGGTTAGTCTGATATTTTATGTGCTTATGGTAGTGAATTGTCAAGTGTCCAATGACCAGGATGACTGTTTTTTTTTTTTTAACGGAATCATGAAGTCACCTTTTGAAACAGAAGCTTGTTTCTATTTTCAGCTTATGTCGCCCTAAGGTTTAGTCTTTGCTCCCTAATCTGTGAGCTCTGATTTGGGTCATTCTGTTATTTATGTTTTCATAGCTCTCAGTGTACGTAATATAATATAATATAATATAATATAATATAATATAATATAATATAATATAATATAAAGTGCCCTTTGATTTAAGTCAGTGAAGGGATTTCCTGCAAGGAAACGCTAGCATAGTATATTTGTGTTTGTCTAATTTCTTCCTGGTGAATTTTAGGTTTTGGTAACACATAAAATATTAGTATTAAGTTTCTTTGTACGCATAAAATATAAATACTTGATTTACTTTAAAAGATAGAATGTTGCCTTATGCTGATCTTCCTAGCACACGCCTTCGTATCATACCAATGAATCCGTCACCCTCCTGTGACAGTTACAAGGGCGAGTGCATGGTCCTAGTCGGAAATTTTCAGAGGCTATTTAAATATGGGTATATAAAATAGGAAGTATGGGTTCTTATTTAGACATACCTGTATTGTAAATGCAATTTTCCATTTCTCATTCTAGGTCTCTGATAAAAATGCACTTTTCAATTTAATGTTTCTCGATCTCAGTGAGCATCCAGAAAAAGTGGAAGGAGTTGGACAGTTGCTCTTTGAAATGTGCAAAGGAGTCAGAAATATGTTTCATTCCTGTACAGGCCAGGTAAAGAGTGGGGACAAATGCCTGGAATCTGTGCAGACGGAATAAACAGAAGAGAATAGCACTCAGTGGTGGGGGTGGAAGTCCTAGAATACAGAGGAAGCACAACCCAGAGAGTGTCAGGACTTATAATGTGGACTTTGAGTGCTTTTACATACAAAATGGCCTTGGTCTTCTTGGCCCTGGGTACTTAGATGCTCTAACATCTATTGATGGTCATGGGTAGAGGGGAAAGGCTGTTCTATGATAAATTCCACATCCTAAGGCTAGGCTGTATGCTTGGTACTTACTTGTAATCCCCGCACCCAGGATGTTGAGACAGATGGATCATGATTTAAGCACAAGCTGGGCTACAGAGTTAACAGTCAAAGCCGGGCTACAGAGTTAATAGTCAAAGCTGGGCTACAGAGTTAGCAGTCAAAGCTGCCATAGTCCCGCTTATTCCATGCTAAGTTTTTGATAAAATCAGCGTGATAAACCGTAGCTTAAAACTGTCTTTTAAAAACTGCTATCCAGAAATGTTTTAATTGGATTCTCTTGCATTCCCACAGGCGCTGAAGCTCATTTTGCAAAAACTAGGACCAGTTACTGAAACAGAAGCCCAGCTACCGTGGATTTTAGTTGGGGAAACCCTGAGAAACATGGCCAGATCCACTGTAGGCTATATCTATAAGGAACACTTCGGTGTGTTTTTTGACTGTTTGCAAGTAAGTTCTATTTTTAAGAATGGATGTGTAGCAGGACGTCTGCATACCCTTTGTCGTTGCTCTGCTCTGAGCTGAGCTCTGTTAGGGATTGTAGTTCATCATCCTCTCCTTTGTTCATCTGCCTGCACATCCACCTCCTTTCCTCCCCTGCAGTCCTTGTCTTATGTATTTATTTTGAATGTGATACCTGTGGTGCAGTGGAGCATGGTAGCGGAGAGAACTGGTAGGTTTCCTGTTTGCATCTTGGTACCGCACTACAGGTGTGACCTGGAGAAGTTGCATAGCACGCCTGCTGCTCTGTGTTTTCGTATGCTAACGTGGGGCTGATGTTACCTGTGTCCAGGTCGCTGGGAGGGTGTTGAGTAAATACTTCCCAAGAACGCAGACAGAGCGCTCAGCAAACACTAGCTGCCACTGTCCAGTGGTGCCCGAATATGCTCTCTGAGTGCCGGTGGACATCCATTATCGCATGAGCAAATGGCTTGGGGTTTTGTAGTTATTCTCTCTCTCAAATTCTTGATTTGAAGGAATCCCTCCTGGAGCTGCACAACAAAATGACGGAAACAAACTGCTGTGAGAATTCTGAACAGATCAGTCGGCTGCTGGAAACCTTCCTGATCCTTGTGAAACATGGAAGTGGGTCAAAAATAACAAGGCCTGCTGACGTTTGCAGGGTGAGTCTGGTGTGCAAGGCTGGCGCTGGGGTGTAGCTGTGTTGTGCACTCACCTGCCGTGTGCAAAGGCCTGATGATCCCAGCACTGGGAGAGTGGCCCGAGTGTAGGTTGCTATATGTGCCTTGTTCTTTCTTCCGTTGTTCCAGGTACTGTGTGAAGCATTACAGACGGCCAGTCTTTCCACTTCTTGCCGGAAGACTCTCTTGGACGTAGTTTCTGCTTTACTCCTAGCTGAAAGTGTTTCCTTGCCAGAGACCCTCATCAAAGACACCATAGAAAAAGTAATTTACTTCACCAGATGTTACTTGTGTGGCTAATAATGTGTTTAGCACTGAGTACCCCGCTGAGAAATACAGATGAAGCATGGCAAAGACTTTGCCCCCAAGGGATCGATCTTGTTAGGGAGATAGGAGCTGCGTGCCATAATGGAAGCATGCAGGATAAGGGTGGCTAGGTCTTAGAGCAAACACCAATGAACGCGTCTAGCTTGCTGTGCACTGGGTGTGTGCTGCATGTTCCGGGGTGGGGAAGATGCCTCCCATTCTGACTGGGTAAGGGCCCAGGAGTGAGTCATTACAACACACTGAACTGATAGCTTAGAGATGTCTATCAATTTGTAATTGTTAATTCTACTTACTGGGGAAGAGAGAGAGTTTTTCAAAGGACATAGACTTGGAGTGGTCTTTAAAAGTTTCTTTTTTTTTTTCTTTAATTTTTTTTTGTTTTTGTTTTTATTGAGCTTTATATATTTTTCCCACTCCCCTTTCTTCCTCCTAAAAGTTTCTTAACAGTTTGCCAACAGGAACAAATCACCTGACAAAGGAACTTTTAACGACTGACTTGTGTTCATGAATGCATGTAGTCAGGGCACACAGGCACTTGAGAAAGTGTGACACCATAGCAGCAGAGCTCCCTTGGCTTTGAACACTTAGGCTCTGTCCTGCAAGTAGGGAAGGCCCCCAAAGAATGCTGAGCAGGGTCGTATCTGCTGTTTGCATTGTCGTGGGTTTCAAAGCATGTTGAAAATAGAAAACTGAGTTTCCATGGAACCCGCTGGTTTTCCTGTTGTAGCTGGGAAGGAGCCAAGCGGCTTTGGGGTCTGGAGTAGTCACTAAGATACTGTGCTCTGCTTCTGGGTTCCTACAGAGCAGGTCAGACCTGTGGGTGGATGCTGGCTGGCGTGTGGTGTGCCTGCCGTCTCTTAGGTATTACACTGGGGCTGGGGGAAGGACTGCTGTGTACTTTTATAAATAGGTTTTATCTTTGCTTCACAGGTATTTGAAAGCAAATTTGAGAGACGTTTGATTTTGGATTTTTCTGAAGGCATGTTTGCTATGAAGCAGTTTGAACAGGTAAACAGGACATTTATTTTAGGGTACTTTTTAAATATGTCATGATATCAAATTTGAAATTGTGTCATTTCTTTTTTTTGTTACTTTTTGAGAGGAGCAGAATTAGTACTTGCTGTTTTAGCTAGTATAATTTTAAAGCAATTATTTTCAATCATAGGTTATATGGGCTACTTTATATGCTAAGTCATTTCATTTCATTAGAGTCCAGGTTGGACTCTAATCCCAGCTCTTGGGAGCTGGAGGCAGGAAGACTTGTCAGGGTACTTAAGGCCAGTCCGGGCTGTTTAGACCCTGTCTCTAAAACCAGCACTGCATTGACAGTAGGCTGGGCTGCAGGCTGCAGGCAGTCTCCATGCACTGCATTGACAGTAGGCTGGGCTGCAGGCTGCAGGCAGTCTCCCTCACAGTGTTCAGAATGCTGCCAGGCTGTCGTCTAGCATCTGTTATTCATGTGGAGAACTTTGAGGCTGATTCTTTGCTGGGAACTCTGCTGACGTGCTGCGATCTCTCTTCTGGTCTCTGGAGTCTGCCCCGTTAATGAGCATCGATCCTGTCTTTGTCTTCAGCTGTTTCTGCCAAGCTTTCTCTGCTACATTGAGACTTGTTTCTTGATGGACGACTCTGTGGTCTCCGACGAAGCGCTGGCCATTTTAGCCAAGCTTATTCTGAATAAAGCTGCTCCGCCCACTGCCGGCTCCATGGCCATTGAAAAGTACCCACTGAATTTCTCCCAGCAGGCTGTGGGGTGAGTCCTAAATCCATTCCCTGTGATGATGGTGAGATTATCTGTTTCTAATTGAATGTTCAAGTATACAGCCCAGAATGATGATCTTATGTGTTCTCTAGAAGGATGTTTGTGACAGTGTTGTGCCTGTGCACACGTTGATTCGGAAGATTGCAGTTGGCGAGGGTTAAAACAGTGTTGTGCATGTGAGTGTGGAAAATGTGGATGGAGATGCAAACCTGTTAGCTGTATTTATCTCAGGGGGTGATTAGGAAATGAGGTGATTAGCTGGGTGGTGGTGGCGCATACCTTTAATCTTAGCACCTGGAAGGCAGAGGCAAGTGGATCTCTGTGAGTTCGAGGACAGCCTGGTCTACAAAGAAAGTTCCAGGACAGCCAGGGCTGTTACACAGGGAAACCCTGTGTCATAAAATCAAAAAAGAAAAGAGGTGATTATTATTATTTTTTTATCTTTTAACATCTTTTTATATTTATTTATATATTTATAGTATGTATTTATATTTAACATGGTTTTTTAGTTTTCCATCTGTGTGTAAAGTGTCATAACATCTTTCATAACCCGCTGAACTATTAGAACTGGACACGACTGTGCAGCCTTGCTCACACTCCTCAGTGCACGCGCTCACACTCCTCAGCGCACGCGCTCACCTGAGCACTGTCCACATGTAGACCTCTGGGTCTGTGCAGGTGATCCATCACTCTGCAGACTGTCACCACACCTGGAGCACAGAAGTGCTCACACCTCATCCTAGCCCTGTGCTCGCAGTTGGCCCTCCCATTTCATACGCACACGTCACTGTGAGCGTGTCCTGTGAGAACTGCGCAGTGTTCCCTCTGCAGTTGGTTGGCTTTCTCACCAAGCACAGTTCCTTTGAGATTCTCAGTGACCCCGCTCCTCTTTGTTTCTGAGGAGGATTCCCCGGAAAGAACGGGCACTTGTTTCCTCATCCACACGTGGAGGAGCAGTTAGTTATTTCTGTTGTTTGGCCATTGCACGTTAAGCTTTTGTGAACGAACGAATGTTTTTTTCTCCTCAATAACCCCCCCATGGGATTTGGGGGGGGGGGGTTTATGATCAGTATGAATTATAATCCACTTCTTGTAAATAGCTGTTATAGCAACTTGTGAAGACATGATTTTGAAGAAGCAAATAAAATTTGTTTATTCATGACAGAAACAGCAGTTCTATAACACATTTGAAAACATGACGTGCTTGTTTGTTTGTTTTTGTTTCTGAGACAGAGCTCACTATGTAACTCGTCCCTTCCTCCCTCCGTCCCTCCCTCCTTCTCTCCCTTCTTCCCTCCCTCCCTTCCTCCTTCCGTCCCTCCTTCCTTCTCTCCCTTCTTCCCTCCCTCCCTTCCTCCCTCCGTCCCTCCCTCCTTCTCTCCCTTCTTTCCTCCCTCCCTTCCTCCCTCCGTCCCTCCCGTGTCATATGAAGTATGTAACTCACTCTGTGTTAACTGTTGTGTTGAATCCGAGGTTTAGGGCTGCTGGCTGCCGACTCGCTCAGCAGCGTTTGTTAAAAGGCTGCAGTGCTGCCCTTGTACCTATGTCGCAAGTCACGGGGCCTGTTTCCTGGCCTGTGTGGTCCACAGTCTCCTCCGTTCCTGCTGTTGTACAAGAGCTATCTTAAAAGGCCATGGCTGGCTCTTTCCTTTTTCTGTGGGGTGGTGTGGGGTGGGACCTGTCTGCGAGGTCAGAGGATAGCTTTTGTGAGAAGGGTTCTTTCCTTCTGCTCTGCGGGCCCTGGGACTCAAACCCAGGTCATCAGGCTTGCCAGCAAGCCTTATCCCACTGAGCCGCCCCGCCGGCCCCATTCCTCTGTTTCCATAGTTTATTTTGTGTTTGATGGAGTGGTTATACCTGTTGCTGCTCTTGTGGTTTGCTCTGAGACACTAGGGTGAGTGGATGGGGTTCTCTGAGTTTGTGCTAACTACGCACATGGCTTTGAACCTGGCTGCATGCTCTGGGTGAGGAGTTTGGCCCCACAGCCACACACACAGCATTTAGTTTTGAATTAACTGCGCTCGGGGTCTGGGGAGACTTGCCTCCTTAAAACCTACATACATCTCCTACTCTGGAAGCGGTTTCTCTGTCAAATGTGCCTGAGCAGAGCCGTGCTCTCTGTACCCGAGTCTGGCTCCTGAGACGTGGGCAATGAGTAACCCTGGAGAATCATTTTCTTGGGTCTTCTGTCTTGATTTCACAGCCCACAACCAGTCTCCAGCAGGTGCAGTCTTGCAAGTGACCAGTGCTCTGGGTTCTGTGTCGTGGAGCTTTGTCCTCGTCTTCCCCTCAGGGAAGCCAGGGATTGATGAGGCCGCTCGTCACACCTCACAGTTCTTTAATCCTCCTGAAAAAGTACAAAGTAAAAATATTAGATCCTTTAACCCAAAGCTAGTGCGACGACTTCAACATCACTCTCTGAGAAAACACCCCACCCCCCGATGCAGTCTGTGTGAATGGTCACCTTTGTCCTAACTCTTCCCGTGGAGGGTTTTGAGTAATAGTTTGAGCTGAGAATGGTGATATATGTTTGCACACAGACACTTGTACACTCTACTAGAATCCAAACAAGGTGGTGTCGAGAGCAGTCTTGCAATTACAGGCCAAGCTAAGCAACACTGAGTTTGAGGTGAGCCAGGGATCCATAGTGAGACCCTGTCTCTGAAACTTCATAGTTTCCGTACTCTCCAGATGTCCACCTCACAGCAGCCAGCAAGAGAAAATGGATGTGAGAGTGCTTGTCTAGAGCCTCATGTAGCGCTGCAGGCAATGGGTGTAACTGAGTAAGAGAAGCCCCCATAGTTAGGGAAACAATGTTGTTGTGGAGAGGACCTGGTGAGGCAGTGAGCAAGGAGGGGGAGAGAGGACTGAGCCTTGTTGTAAGCCCTGCGTTCAAGACTCAGGCGAGGAGGGAAGTTAACTGTAGGGCAGTAGTGAGCAGATGATGCCTTTTTTTATTGCATCATCTCAGTATTTTATATTTTTATAGATTGTCAAGTTATGCACATTGCCAAAAAGACTAGCAAGATAGAATGGCTAGCTGGCCAGTGGTCGTGCATGCCTTTAATCCCAGCACTTGGGAATGGTGGGGGGGTGCAGAAGCAGGTGGATTTCTCTGAGTTCCAGGCCAGCCTGGTCTGCAGAATGAGTTCTAGGACAGCCAGGGCTTCACAGAGTATGATGTTTAATGAATTGATAGTTATATTAAATTAACTTATTTGTCTATTATTTATAAATATTCTGTGTCCTAAAAAGTAAAGTATCAAACAAAAGAAAGAAAAGTGACTTTTCATTGATTCAAATAACAAAAGTTATTCCAGTTTTCTATTGTACAAGTTAACCAAACTGGACGTGGAGGACAAGTTCTAAGGATATTACCTAACATTTCTATGACTTTGCTGCAAGAGTAGAAAAGGGGTAGTTCACACATACCCAAAGACAGGTGCTGAGTCAGAAAACATCACCGAATAACCTTGTGCCACGTTAAAGTCAGAGAACTGTCAATCATAGTTGATTATGATTAAAGTGGTATTTGCCATTTTTACGATGGTAACTTTGACATCATTTTTCCTTTGGAAAACAGTGACATTCATGTAAAAACAAAACAGGTGGTTGTTGATTGCAGTGGTTCATGCCTGTGATGCCAGCAGCACTCAAAAGGCAAGAGGCAGGAGGATTGCCACAAGTTCAAGGGCAGCCAAGTTCCAAGCTAGTGAGGACTCACAGCTATACCCTGTCTCAAGTAAATAAGCAATGAGGAGCAGAGGCAGTCAGGTTGTCCCAGCCTCTAGGAGATCTGCAGAGCAGTGCCCAGAACTAGACAGGACTTGGTCTGAGTTAGAAATTGGTTGAAACAGAGAAGCAGGTCAGGCACGTTGACGAGCCTGTAGCTGCAAGGTTTTTTTTGTTTGTTTTGTTTTTTGTTTTTTTTTTTTCATTCCTTCCTGCATTCAAGGTGCGTCCTTTCAAACTTGTGGCCATAGTAAATACCTGTCCCTTGTTTTTACCTTCAGATCCTACTTGAAGCAGAGGAAGACTGACTCCAAGAGAAGAAGGGAGCAGCTTCCAGTGCTAGATCATCTCTTGTCCATAGTTCAGTTACCCCCAAGTAATGACGCCAGATACCTTTCACAGTCTTGGGCAGCCCTGGTGGTATTACCTCATATCAGGTAAGAAAATCAACTTTAGTTTTACCGGTGTTTAACATTTCAGTTAAAATGTTAACCGTTCTTTGCCATCCTGAGAATAAGCCATTACATAGGAATTTGAGAATTTCCTTTTTTTCTTTGCACTTCTTGCTCAGGCCTCTTGAGAAGGAGAAAGTGCTGGCTCTCCTGTCGTGCTTCATAGAGTCGCTCTTCGTGGCTGTTGACAAGGGGAGCTTTGGAAAAGGTCAGTGACAATCAGCACTTGTTCTCTGCTTGGCCTTTCTGGCACACCCAGAGTAAATGTAAACGTGTCATGACAGGGACCAGCACCAACACTATTCTGCTCTAAATCCCTGCATAGAAAATGTGTGTGGCAGGGACATGTGTCATTTGTACCCCACAATGTGGTGCCTGCATCCAAGTTACCTGAACACAGGAAAGTCAAGTATCAAGAGGGTGTTATAACGTGGTCCTCCTTCCCCTTAAATACACCGGCTCCCAGCTGCTTCGTTTACTCACCTGGAACCCAACACCCTTATTCATACGTGTGTTCCTTCTGCCTGAGAACCTTCCTAAGTTCCTTATTCAGCACTCTTTCCCATCCTCACGCCGCTCAGGCTGGCTGCTTGTCGTTGCTGTGATAGACACCATGCACACAGTGACTCAGGAGAGAAGAGTTTGTGTTAGCGCACACTTCCGGGGAGTACATAATGGCAGGGGAAGCTTGGCAGCAGGCAGCCAGAGAAGGAGGCTGAGAGATTGCTTCCAACAGCAAGGCTCTGTATCCTAAAAGTTCCAGAGCCTCCTCCAAATATCACCACCAGCGGGGGACCATGTGTCTACATACAGGAATCTGTGGTGGGACCTCATTCTTTCTCATCCAGACCACCATGGGGGCATCACTAGGAAGGCCTGCCTGCCTCCTGTAGGCAGGGATTGGTTGCTACTTCCAGTTACTGTTGAATTGGTGTTAATTGAATATCTGTTGGTGAGAACCTATTGGGTATGTAACAATATAAATTGAAGAATAATTTTACTGAGCTTTTGAAAAGTCCAGGCCTACTGTTTTGGAGAGTTTGAGTCTGCCTGATGCTGGAGGGTGCACTGTGCCTCTTAGTGGAAATGCTCAGGACCAAAAAGTACTGCTTCAGGTTTTGGAATATGTACCTGTATTTTGCTGGTTGAGGAGCCCTAACCTAAAAATCCCAGGTCTACCATGTGACTCTGAAGCTGAGTGCACAGGCTCAGACATTCGGGTTGGGGGTAGAGATCTTGACCTGAGCTAGCTTCTTTTTTCAGTCAGTGGCTCGGAAGCGTGTTCACTGTAAGAAAGAGACAGTGTGTGACTTGGTCTCTCTGTAGCTCTCTGTCACATTTAGACATGTGACAGACAGCACCGCGTGAGCACGCCCAGATTTTACTTCAAATGTGCTTCTGGAAATGGTGCTGGGGATGGGGTGTTTCCCAGCCGAGAAGGAAGCAATGTTTTTCCTGTTTCTGCCCTTAGGGCGCTTGTTTGTCCTCTGTCAGGCTGTACATACTCTGCTGGGTCTGGAAGAGTCTTCTGAGCTCCTTCATCTGGTTCCTGTGGAGCGGGTGAAGACTTTAGTGTTGTAAGTAAACAACTTCCATTTGTCTTAATGGTAAACAAAGTGTAAAAAGCTCCCATTTTTGTGAAGTCTTGGATATAACAGAAATCTTTCTAATCTATTTTATACCTGAATAGAATCACATGGGGAAATTAAAAGTTGATATTAGATCCTTGAACTAAAATAAGTAACTTTTGACAAATTTTAAGTATTTTACGTATATAGTCATCTTTGCAAAGAAATACTTGATTATATGCCTATCATTTAGGTTATAAAGTTAAAATACCAGCTGCATTTTTAAAAACAGGGTCTCTCTACACAGCCTTAAAACTCAAAAGATAGATTAGGGTGACCTTGAACTTCCAGAAGTGTATCTGCCTCTGCCTGCCAACTGCTAGTATTAAAGGTGTGTGTCACCATGCCCAGCACAGCTGGATTTAAAAGGAAAAGAAAGTTATTTCATTTGATGGTGCTGAGAATGAAACCCAAGGCCTCAAGACATAAGCTTTCCGTTGCAGTGTGTTAGCCTCCCCAACCTAGCATCCACTGTCAGCCTTCCCAACCTAGCATCCAGTGTTGCCTTTCCCAGCCTTTCATGACCCACTGACTCAATATGCTCCAACCTCTCCCTGTTCTGCTTCAGTGTGTTGTGACCAGCATTTGTGAGGTCCTTTTGCTGTATGACAAAATGGTCTGGTTTGGTTTTCTGGCCTGTACATTTATTTTGACCAACCTCAGACTTGAGTAGCACTAGCTCCTGTTTTGGTTTCTTTTAGGTTGAGGCCAAGGCTATGGCTAAGCAACGTGCTGTGCATGAGACAGCCCCCAGCAAAGTGTTCCTGCCCTGAATGCCAGTATTGTTGGTTTTTGTTGTTGTTTTGTTTTGTTTTGTTTTGGAGACAGGCTTTCTCTGTAGCTTTGGAGCCTGTCCTGGAACTCTAGCTCTTATAGACTAGGCTGGCTTCAAACTCACAGATCTACCTGCCTCTGCCTCCTGAGTGCTGGGATTAAAGGCATGCGCCACCCCCTCCTGACAAGAATGCTAGTATTGTTGGGCAGCACTCCACCTGTGGTAACCCCTCATTGGGAATAAAATCTTCACCAAGCCCCTCTGACTTTTTATGATCTAACTTCTCTGTTTCTGACGTCTCCCATATCTCCCTGTTCACTTGGCCCCAGCTGCACTGGGCTCTAATGCTCTTATAGGTGAGAATGCATCAGATGCATTGGCGTCGCTCCTCTGCCTAGAATGCTTTCTTCAGACCCCCTTACGCCCGCTCTCCTGTTTCTTCCAGGTTTGTGTTCTGTGGCTGCCCTGTATCAAATGCACTCCACTTTGCCCACTGGTCCCTGCCTACTGCTCTCTCCTTGTTTGCTTCTGTAGCCTCCTTCCCCGAATGCTCTTCTCCCCAGCATTTATCACTGGTCTGCTGAACTGTGCTGTGGCTACCGTTTGCTAGAGATTTGAGTTTCAGGAAAAAAAGAACTTTGTCCCTGGTTTACTTTCTATCCAGTGTCTAGGAAAACTACCGGCATATGCTAGGTTCTCAGACCATGTCTGAAGGAAGTTGGCGTATAGAGGGCCTGTGGCTTGTCACAGGAGAGGGTTCAGAAATGAGCTGCACTGTTCCTCACCAGCTCAGTGCCTGGCATGCAGTGGACACTTCACAAATTCCACGTGCCCTCTTGTTATGCAGCTGCCACTCGCAGCTGTGGGTTGGGGCGGCAGCATTGGCTGTTCTAGTCCCCCCTCTGCCTCGAGTCCGCTGGTTGTATCCGAGCACGTTTCTCACTCGGTAGGCCTAGTCTTCAGCTGTAACTATAAAATGATGTTGGCAAGCTCTATAAAACTTAAAACCTGCTGCATTTTATATTTACCGTATCAGCGGACATTTCTGGGTAACTTAGCAGTGTGATGGTGCAGTTGGAATCTCATAAATATCTTGTTGCAGAACATTTCCAACGGAGCCATCTGTGTTGCTGTTGGCTGATCTCTATTACCAGAGGCTAGCGTTATGTGGATGCAAAGGGCCACTTTCTGAGGAGGCCTTAATGGAATTATTTTCCAAGTTACAAACAAACATTTCAACTGGTGTCTCCAAGGTAATACTGCTTTGTGTGTTCGGCTCGTGACCACCTGTTTCCTCATCAAAGGCGCTGCTGTGGGATTGTGTGGGATTTCTGTCGGAGCAGTGATTGCTAAACACTGGCCACAGGCCGATCACAGCAAGACTGCTTAGGGTGGTCAGTAAAATTATAGATCTTAGGGTTCTGCTCTAAAGATTCCGATTCAGTAGGACTGGGGTAGAAAAAAGCTAGAGAAATAAAATAATTTTTCTCTAATTTATGTACTCATAGGTGGTAGTTGTTTGACTAAATCTCTATTATAACAGCCTTGTATAGTGAACATTTTATGGACTAGATAATTGTGCTTGTGCTGATAGGCAAACAACCTATCCATATCTTACAACTTAAAACTAGAAGAATGTGTTCTTGTGATGCGTTGCTGCTCTCAAAAAGTTTCCTTTTTTTTTTTTTTTTATAAAGAAAACTTAAGCCAGGCATAGTGGTGCACACCTCTAACCCCAGTAGTCAGAAGAAGGGTCTCTGTGAGGCCAGCCTGGTCTGTATAGTGAGTTCCAGGGCAGCCGGGCTGCATAAGACCCTGTCTCAAAGAAGAAAAAAAAAGAATTTAAGATGGTTCGCCTCCTCATTCAAATGTGTGGAAATACCCGCGTGACTAAGGGGTATAGCTGAGTTACGGCGTGTTGAGCGGCCTTACCCACATGGTCTCATGCTGTCTTGAACTTATTTACCGTTTGAATTAGGCACTGGTCGTTGTTGGATACAAGACAAGGACAGAAAAGGCCAGTTTTACTCTGATCAATAGAAGCCCTTAGGTCTGTGAGACGTGGGTTTCGCTCACTGCTCCTCGCTGTCTTCCTTCACTTACACTCTGCGATTTGCAATCTCCTTTGTACTTTTTCTAGATTCGGCTCTTGACAATAAGGATCTTAAATCATTTTGACATCCGACTTCCAGCTTCAGTGGAGGTACTGTAATTATTAGAGTAGATAGTTTAAGAAAATATAATTTACATGTTTTTGTAAATTTTCCAAATGTTATCTTTGCTATGTAACTATATATGGCTAAACTTTATAAATATTTATAGTAAAAGTTGGTATTCTTGGAATTCATATTCTTGCCTTCCACTAAGTCTACTAAATGTTCTTCCAGATCTTGAGGGTGGCATACATGGTGGGGGCTCGTGTTAGATGGAGTCTTCCGTATCAGCGTCTCTGGTTTCCCTCTTTCTTTAGAGGTTTAAATGATTCCTCTGATGACGGAAGGTTAAGTGGGGTAGTTACCATTGCCCAGTGTCTTATCTGACACTGAGTGCCCTTAGATGGATATTTTTATGTATAGAACTGTGTCCATGATGCAAGTACTAGAAATAGAATTGCACAGTGAGAATATATATACTGTGTGTCTGTGTGTGTGTGTGTGTAATAGTAGATAGGTAGGTAGGTAGATAGATAGATAGATATGTTGGATGTTTTCTATTGTTCTCTATTTTTTAATTTAAAATATAACTATATCACTTACTCCCTCTAACCTCTCCCATGCCTCCCACCACTTCTTAGTCTTTATTGTTAAATATATTTAAGTATGAATAAATTTATAAGTATAACTGCTAAGTCCACTTACTGTCGTTTGTATGTGTGTTTAGAGCTAATCGTTATTTTTTTAATTTTAAATTACTGTATATTATATTTATCCATATGGCTGTTTTGCCTGCATGTATATCTGTGTACTGTGTGCATGCCTGTTGCCCAAGCAGCCCAGAAGAGGGCATCAGATTTCCTGGACTGGAGATACAGATAGGTTATGAGTCGCCTTATAGGTGCTGGGAATTGAGCAGGGTCCTCCGGAAGAGCAGCCAGCTCTTAACTGCTGAGCCACCTCTCCAGCCCTGACCATTGTCTTCTGAGGCAAGGTCTCCCACTGGATAGCTAGGCTGACTGACCCACGAGCTACAGGAGTCTGCCCTTCCCTAACGTATTCTAAGTTGAGTTTTTTGTTTGTTTTGTTTTGTTTTTCTTTTCTAAAACCTTTAAGCTCAGCTGAGCATAATGGTGCACACATTTAATCCTAGTACTCAGGAGGCAAGTAGTAGGTGAGTAGTAGGTGAATCTCTATAAATTTGAGGTCAGCCTGGACTGCATAGGGAATTCCAGACCAGCCAGGACTCCTTCAAAAAACCAAATGTCTAACCATGCTTCACATCCCTTTTGGGGTCAGGGTTCTGACTTGCCTTGGGTTCTGTCTGGCTGTGCAGGATGATGGGCTCTCAGAGCGGCAGTCAGCCTTCGCCATCCTGCGCCAGGCAGAGCTGGTGCCAGCAACTGTGAGCGACTACAGAGAGAAGCTGCTCCACTTGAGAAAGCTGCGGCACGATGTGGTTCAGGATGCAGTCCCTGCCGGACTGCTGCAGGAGGTAACAGTGGTGCCTGTCTGTCCGTCTTTCTCTAAAGTTGTTTCTTAAATTATGTTTTAAATCTTATTTTGGCTATCATACTACATAGTTTTCAGTAATGGAAATGTTCTCCTTATAAGTAAGGCGAACCTTGCTTCTCTTCCTTGCTTCGCATTAAGTTGCTCTCTCAGCCTATTAAGTCAGGTGGTGTCCTTTTGTGTGTTTGAAGGCCTGACACAGCCACCATCATTTTGTGTGCTTTGCCGTGGCTACTACTCCAACAGCTGGTTTCCTTGGGGTTTCTCTTGTGTTCTTACCTAGTTATAGCGTGTGAGCATTTTAAAATGTAGTACTTCATTTTCAGCAGTTGTCTGACTTTAAGGGCCTTCCAAAAAAAAAAAAAAATGAAGAAGAAAAGGAAGCTGTTTTGTTGACAGAATAGTTCTAAAATGTTGGTTCTGTCCTTTAAAAGACGCCCTAAAGGGTAGAGTGTGATTGGTGGGTATGGGGTTAGGTTGCAGAAATGTGAAGCAGAGCTGACTCTGGCCCTTGACATCCCCACAACAGTTTAAGTAGATCATCATGATTGTCAAGTCTCTGTGGCTGGGTTCGAGGATTCAGAGAATGGCCATCAAGCAGGGAAGAATCAGAGCCGTCACACTTTGCACTGCCTGTAAAATACACAGAGAAAACTCTAAGAATGAAATACTTATCGTAGTTTATCCCCATTTCTACCCTTGGCATTCAAGAAAGGACAAGTCGCCTGTTATTTTCTGGAAGTCTCTTCCTTGAGAGAGAACATTTGAAAGTCACACGTTGAATTTAGGCACTGCACACGCAGAAGGACAGAGAATGGCAGGCAGAGTGGTGCTCGGCAGAGAAGAACGCTTAGGCAATGAGCTCCACCTTTGCTCAGGATCACATAGCGCCTAGCTGGTGGGACCAGAACACAGCCAGCCGAGGTATTCGGGCTCACTGCCCATGCTTCTGTGCACAGCTGCCTCACTCGATACCAGCTAATGTAGTTCCATTCAGAACTCTAAGAGCAAGTTCATGTTAATGAAGTAGCATGTGCAAAGAGCCCAGTCAGCCTAGAAAGAAGCACTTGGCTTCCATTGTACTTGGTAGTTCATGACTTGCCTTTCCATCTGTAATCCGTCCTACCTGTAAGCTCATTCGGTTCTCACAGCAAAGCATGGGCAGCATCAGTCCCTCCTTACAAATGGGAAGGCAGACTCGTTGGCTCCCGATGAGGTGGGGCACCATGTCAGGTGCAGTGTTCTTCACCACGTCTTCCCTGATGCCGCACATTGGTGTAGAAGGAGCGGCGGGCTGCGTTCCCGCCTGGCTCCCGCATGGCTAGCTTTACATCCAGAAATAACTACACGGAAACTGTATTCATTTAAACACTGCCTGGATCTCTGAGTTTGAGACCAGCCTGGCTATTCCAGGACAGCCAGGGATATGTAAAGAGACCCTTAAAAAAAAAAAAAAAAAAGCATCTGCTGTACATAGGCTTGAGTCCCTAGTCCCACGTTTTTGTCGTTGTTGTTGGTTTTGTAGTCGTTGTTCTTCTGTGTCCACAGATGCTCCTCAGGTCCTGTCAGTGTTTATTAGGATGGAATCTCACTCCCAGTTGGACTTAGACTTTGCCAGTGAATGTCAAAAATGAGCTTGGATTCCGTGTTTTAATGAATATGAGTGAGATTTTTAGGAAATGAGAAAAATTATTAAACACTCAGTTCTAGGTCAGTCTCAAGAGCCTTTGTTTCTTCTTGGCGCAGGCTTCTTCCCAACCTTCACTCTGTCTAAGGGGTGTGTGCCTCTGAGCTCTGCTCTGCCCTTCTGTGGTGACCAGTCACATATTTACTAAACCCGTCTCTCGGACTTGCAGGTACCACTCCGCTATCTGTTCGCCATGCTCTATGTCAACTTCAGTGCCCTCTGGGACCCTGTTATTGAGCTCATAAGGTAAGCGTGGCTGTGGATGGGACCATTCACTTTAACCGACGTGGAGTGGGGATGTGTTCCATCTAGGGATGACTTACGTGCACGTGACCCGGCGCAGAGGAGAAAAGACGCTCTCTTCGGGCCTGGTTGTCGGTAGTTTAGGTGTGTGTGTATTTCTGTGCGTGTAAATGATTGGGGGCTTCTCTTTTTATTTTACATGAGACTATTCATATGATGAGAAGATACATTATGGCAATTGTATACTTTAATTTTACATATTAGATCACTGAACCATACTATAAAAGTAGGAACTTTTAAAACCCTTGCTGTCTTACATGCACCTGTGCGTGCGTGCACACATACACACACACACACACACACACACACACACACAGATCCCTTTAGCTCTAACAGATAATTTAAATAGTAACAGAAAATAGCATCCGCTATGGCTGAGATGTAGAAATCTGTCCTTTTAGAAATGTTTGTCCTTCACGCTTTACTCTGGCTTTTTGTCAGACTGGAAATATGTCATGTGGATCCTTTCTGGATCCTATTAGTTCTTCCTTGACAGAAGCAGAATAAACAAATCCCTTTCCAATTTTAAACCAATTTGCCTGCTTTTACTTCCTTTCAGAGCCATCAAACAAGAGTAGTGAAAGTAAATGGCTTTTGACTTCAACCGGGTTGTTTTTTTTTTTCTGTACTTTCAAAAGATAAGAAGTGACATATTTGTAATCAATGGTCCATTATGACAAATGTTGACTCGTAAATGCTTTTAAAGTCTCTTCATAGTGGCTGGGCTATTTTGCTGTTAGGGACTGTTTTCCGTGTATAATATGCAACATAGCTATTTCTCGTTTCTTGTGTACAGTTTATGTGTATTAGGAAGTTCATGGGAAGCCAGGTGTGAAGGTGCACACCTTTAATCCCAGTGTCCAGAAGGCTAGGGCAAAGAGAATCACGGATTTTAAGCTAGCCTGGGCTACATTGTTATAAGCCTCATGAACTAGGATGAGAGAGAAGGGAATGGAGAGGAAGATGAGGAGAGAAGGAAAAGAAAGGGAAGCTAGTGACAGAGTAGAGAACATTAATTATTAAGGTCTTTGAGCTGTAACAAATAAAACCAAAAATAACCCGATATGATTCTTTTCATATCTCATCATTAAGTTCTCAAAAGTCTTGTTTGAGACAGATTCTAAATATGTAGCCCTGGCTGTCCTGGACTAGCTATGAGGACCAGCTTGGCCTCAGACTAACACAAATCCTCCTGCCTCTGCCTTCCAAGTGATGAGATTAGAGGTGTGCACCACCATACTCTGCTGGAAAGTGTATTTCAAATAGTGAAACAGACGTTCTTCACTCTGAGTGCAACCGTTGTTTCTTCTCCTAGTGGGCCCTGCCTCATTACTGTCTTTCCTAGCGTTGTCACCTTGATGTAGCCTAGAGTCACCTGAAGAGGGCGTCACTGTCTGATTTTCTTCATTGGGTTGGTCTGAGGACTTTTCTTGATTGATATTTACTGTGGGAGAACCCAGCCCACTGTGGGCAGCATGGTCCCTAGGTAGTTGGCCTTGAGCTGTATAAAAATTGGCTAGCTGAAGTTAAGCCTGGGAGTAAGGCAGCAAACAGCACTCCTCCGTGGTTCCTACTTCTAGGGTCGTGCTTTGAGCTCCTGCCCTGACTTCCGTCAGTGAATTGTGACCTGGAAGTATAACTCAAGTAAACATTTTCCTTCCCAAGTTGATTCTGGTTTTGGTTCTGGTTATGCTTCTGGTTGTCATACCAACAAGGCGGAAAAGGAGGATATAACGCTCCATTTCCATTACTGTGTCTTAACACTAGTCTTCCTAAGATGCGGAAATTGACGCCTGTGTCCTAGTGCTCAGTGGTGGGGTCAGCAGATTATGGGTTTGGGGTGTCATAGTGGGCTCTAGACCAGCTTAGACGGCATAGAAAGACTAACTCAAAGCACCTTCAACAACAAAGCTAAATAGTCTTATATACATCTACTTACATTTTAAAAAAATATTCTGTAGTCATTTATGGGTATAAAAATAATTTCTGTGGGTTGGTAAGAAGGCTCAACAGGTAAAAGGTCTCACACAAATCCCATGATGTGAGTTCAATCCTAGGGTCCCACAGTAGAAGGAGAAAACCAAAGTGCCCGAATCACTGACTCCTCTGGTCCATGCGCATCCACACTCACTAATACCCATCCTGTGCATAGTCACGTATAATGATAAAGTAAAATAAACAGTTCATGTAATGTAGGCAGTATACAAACAACAGAAACGTGGAATCTATTTTATCCTCATGTTGAAGGCTAATCAAATTAACATTTAATTCTTCTACATTTTTCTAGTGGGCTATCTGACACTAAACACTGTGTATCATGTGTTCTATGATCTTTTCTTAGTTCTCATGCCCATGGAATGGAAAACAAGCAGTTCTGGAGTGTCTGCTATGAACACCTTGAAAAGGCAGCCTCGCATGCTGGTATGAGCAGGAGTCTCGAGGGGTGGGGACACCAGTGCTTACCTAAATGGTTAATTTTTTCTGTGGTTTGTGCATGAAGCGGGGGAGCATGAGAACCGTATTCTCTCTGGTTCTGAGAGGGTTGCTCTTTCCTGTGTCCTGGAAACAAGTGTCCAGTCTTGAGGATAAGTCTAATAACCCACAGGTGTTAAGTTGACGTTTTCTCTTTCAGAGAAAGAATTGCAGAAGGATGTGAGAGACGAGGAGAAGTCCGCTGGAGATGGAGGTTGGGAGCAGACCCAAGAAGGGGACGTTGGCGCACTCTACCAGCAACAGTTAGCATTGAAAACCAGCTGTCGGGAACGACTAGACCATACCAACTTTCGATTCTTGCTCTGGCGAGCTCTGGCCAAATTTCCAGAGAGAGTAGAACCAAGGTCCAGGGAACTCTCCCCACTGTTCTTGAGGTTTATCACGTAAGTACCTTACCTAGGACCATGTCCCTGGCACAGTGTGTGTGTGTGGGGGGGAGGTGAGCCTCCTCCAGCAACTGAGAACTTTACGCATCTGTCATGTTTCAAGCCCTTGTCGTGTTTGCAAAGTCCTGCCTCCTTAGGGAAACACTAAACGAGTTCTGTTCAGCACGTAGTTTATAAGAACAGCATACAGTGGAGCTTGTAGAAATAGGTCAGGTTACCGCAGGGGAAGGGGCAATGGAGTTTACTCAGTTTACAAAGGCCTTATTATTTCTTGCCCTGTTCATTGTTTTGTTACTTTCCTGGGGGTAGAGTATATTTCCCGGTGACCTAACCCTGGCTACTGTTTTGAGCCTCTTGACGCTGAGGAATGCGCTCTTGAAGAGCAGTGTGAGCTTTCTGAAGCCTTGTTTTGTTTGGAGTGCCTGAGTGTGAGAGTCTCGATGGCTCTGAGATTCTAACAAGGACGTGTTGTACAGAACAGAACTAAACATTAGTGTGTGCTCTGGTGTGCCGCTTCACATGGGAGGAACATACAGGGTAGGCTGAGCAGGACATAAACCATGGCATGTCTGGGTCGTCCGGGAACAACAGGGAGTCCTGAGCGAGCACTGTAGCGTGAGCCACGAGGAAGCAGTGGAGATGGAGCGGGAACTTGGCACCGAGGCCATGTGATGGTGCAGTCGGCCTCTGCGGTCAGAGAAGAGGGGAGTTTACGTAGAAGCATGAAGGGATTGTAGATGTGCTTGAGAACAGACTGTAGAATGGCGGTGGTGATGATGGTGAGCAGGGGGTTACAGGTGTGAGCGAGGCTCGCTGGTGGCCTGACCAAGGTTGTCGTATTAAAGACTGATTTTTTTAAAAAAAGACTTCCAACTTGAAAAAAAAAAATTTGAAAAGATTCTAGCCAGATCATCTTGTGATTTGGAGGTATCCTTGGTTATAGGAACAGAAAGGAGTGGGGAAAACTGAATAGCTTTCTCCAGGTTTTAGCCTGAGCAGCTAGGAAAGGCAGGTTACCATCTTAGAGACGCAGACATTGCCGGTGTGTGGGGAAAACCAAGAGGTCATTTGAATTTGTGTTCAGTTCAGGATACCAAGCAGATCCCCGAGTAGAAATGGCCTGTAGACCTTAAGTTTAGGTGACGTCCAGGGGGAGGGTTGACCTGCAGAGGGTAAGCTGAGAATTGTCAGGAGATGAGCGGCAGCTACAGTCGTCCAACAGCTGGAGTCTCCTCGAGAGATCAGAAAGGGAGGACACGTGGGTGCTGATCCTGGCCAGTGTTTAGAGAGAGGAAGTGAGGAACCAGCAAGGGAGTCCGTGGAAGTAGTAGGAAAACAGAGAGGACATGGATGCCAGCTTCCTGGTGTTTTTCCTCTTAGTTTCACTGTCTCAGAGAAGGGTAGCCAGCTGGATCAATAGGTATTTCAGAGCTGTCAGTCTTGTGTGGACCAAGACCTGGCCTTTGGCTTAAAGGGAGGCCTTGCCCAGAAAGATGCAGAGGCTGTAGTGAGTTGCTCTACTTAAGCCGGAAGGAGTCTGATTAGATGGGCTCTAGAGAAAGTGAAAGAAGAGAGTGAACCCTGTGGGTTCTTGTAAGATGGAGATTGAGGGGATGCGGGGCCAGAGACGGTGCTTCTGTCGATGGAACAGTCAACACGAACACTCTCGTTACAGAAGATCAGGAGGGCGGAGAGCCCGGGTGTGGTGGCGCACGTCTTCAGTCACAGCGCTCGGAGAGGAGACAGAGGCAGGTGATCTACATGCAACAGATCCATGATGAAAAATTAGGGTTCCCACCCATTTTTGTGGGGCGGTTGTTTGTAGAATGAGAAAAAGAGGGGTCTGGCTTTTCTCTCACACCGTGTCTTAGAGGATGTGTCCGCTGTTGTGCAAGGTGGCAAGGGTGGTGTTGGTAGGCTGGTCGTCCCCGTCCATCTAAGAGTACAGCCCTTCTTGTAAAGAGACTGTGGTATAGGGACAGAGAAAGGCCTGTGGTAGATGTGGAAGGCTTAGATACTCTCATAGAACCAAGCACTAACGTTTAAGAATAGGTGGCAGTTTTTGTTTTCTGTGCTTTTGGGTACTTGTCATTTAAAAACCACCTTTGCCCGTGACTGAAATGGAGCATTTGCCTTTCTCTCTGCCCCTGGGAGTTTCATAGTTTGAGGGCCTTTTACCTTTAATGCACTTTCTGTGGCCTGATGAGAGAGAGGAGTCTAGTACGTTCCTTTACACATGGGGTCCTTTCGCCCTGGCACCGCTTACCGGCAAGACTGTCCTTTCTCCAGAGTTCTCGGCGTCACCGAAAGGCCAGTCTGTACGCTAACGCGGTGCTGTTTTGGTAAAGCAGCTTTTCAATGTGTTAGGAAATTAGGTGATGTTTCTGACTTGACTTTTTACTTGCTGTTGCTTTGACTATTTGAGATCGTAATGCTATGCTTTTGAAAGGACACTGGCAAAGTAGGAAAATACAACCCTAATACTTTAATCTTTTACTCTGTAGTCCACTCTGACCAGTTTGCTTCCAGAAACAAGGAGGCAGATTTCACTTTGGGCTAGAGTACACTTTTCAACAACACAGTCATGTAGCAAGCAGACAGTCTTTTACAGTTAGTGATTGACCTGTCAGTCTAAGGAGAGAGTACTGGTGTGGGGGCCGGAGAGATGATCAGTGGTCCAGAGCACTGGCTGAGAACCAGGGTGCAGCTCCTAGCACACATGTGCTTCAGAGCCATCTATGACGTCAGCTCAGGGGATTCAGCGCCCTCTTCTGACCTCTGTCGGTACCAGGTGCATGTCTGCTACACAGACACACATGCAGACAAAGCACCCACCGCACAGAATAAAATCATTTAAGAATTCTGCTATAGAGGCACCTTGATGAAGGCGCTGAACGTGTGTGTGTGTGTGTGTGTGTGTGTGTGTGTGTGTCTGTTGTCTGTCTGTCTGTCTGTCCCATGTACTATGGATGCCTTTCCAAAGAAGGCTACTCCTCACTTGCGTTGTTACCGCACGCTTCCTCTACAGCAATGAGTATTATCCAGCAGATCTGCAGGTTGCTCCAACCCAGGATCTACGCAGAAAAGGTAGGGGAGCAGTGGCTGAGGAAGCGGAAGAGGAGCCCGCTGTGGGAGAAGAGGAAGAAGTGGAGGAAGAGGCAGTGCTCACAGATGATGCACCCCAGAGGAAAAAGACAAGACGGGCAGCAGCAAAGTGAGTTCCCATCACCGCTGATCCCGGAGCTGTGGCTGTGGGGGAGCAGCTGTGGGGAGCGGTGCAGCTTCTGTGTGCGTGGGAAATAGCTTCCTGAAGGATGAACGTCTCATAATTACTGGCATGCCGTGGTGCCACTGCCAGTCTTTGGAGATTCTTGCTCTGAAATGTGCTGGTGCCAGGCACTGAGAACCGGCTGTGGTGCTCTGTGACACCAGAGTTAAAGGAAGACAGGCCCAGAGTTACACAAGTGCCCTTCCCTGGGCTCTGCTGGCATCAGTGCTGCCCAGGCCTGCCCTTGTGTCAGTGTGTCCCAGGCAGTTGTGTGTGTGGTCCTGCATCTGTCTGCCGCTCCCTGACTCTCCTGGCACCGTAGTGACTGCTGCTCTGTCAGGAAACAATTACTGACTGGTCTTTCCTGCTTTCCACGGAACTGGGAACTGAGGAACTTTCTGTGTGGCTCCTTATAAAGATGAGACTTGCAGCCTAGCGTGCTGAGGCCTCTCAGGCATCGTGTTTGCATGCCAGGCACCGGACTCCCTGGTCAGCACTTCCTTCCCTGTGACTTAGCCCCTTAGTTACTGTTTTCTTGTGCTATGATGCTTTCTAGTTCCCTCGCTTACCCATTTACTTAAATTGTTCCAAACTGTTAGAAAAAACTCTGTGTTCAGAAGCTTTTTGAGCTTACCCAAAGATTGTCTGGATTGAGGGTCTGATCTGCCAGGCTGCTGTGAAGATGAATCACAGACATCTGCAGTGTAGGAGCAGTTTTACGGAGCACTGTACAGAACCTCTTCCCTCCAGTGTTTAGTATGGAGCACTGTACAGAACCTCTCCCCTACAGTGTTTACAGAGCCCTGTACAGAACCTCTCCCCTACAGTGTTTACGGAGCACTGTGCAGAACCTCTCCCCTACAGTGTTTACGGAGCACTGTGCAGAACCATTCCCTTCTACCACAGATACTGAGTACCACAGGTACTCAGGGAGGACCTTCTGCAGAGGAAAGGACACCTTTGCTGCTGCAGGATGAAAGCTCGTCAGCCGTGGACAGGGAAAGGACCTATCAACTAATGGAAATAGTGTGTAAAACATGGGCCCAGGAAGGGTCACAGCCCGGCTACCTGTAACTCTAGTTCCTTATTCTCTTTCCATTAGCATAATCCCTAGCAAAAGATTAGTTCTAGGTATGTGTTTGCTAAATAAATGAATAAGCCATTTTTCCAGTCACACCTTGGCCTTTCTCACCCGTGGACCTGCACACATGCCCTCACCTCTGTCCAAGTGCCCTGGCCTCATTTCTGCTCGCTGAAGGAATCTGTTCGTTCTTGGAGATGTGCCTGTGGCCACAGTTCTTCACTGAAGTCCTTCCTGTCTTTAAAGTCGAAGTTATCTTACCCGAGTCAGACTCTCACAGCTCATCAGCCATGCCTGTGTGGTGGGATCCCTGCTCGGCTCTGGCCATTAGCGCTCTACAGCTCTTAGGAAATCAGGACGTCCCTGGGCTGCGGGTGGCATTCTCGCTCATAGCTGCCTGCCTCGCTGCACCTGGAAGTGTTCTAAAGACACTTGGCTACAATCCTGAAAACGAAGATGGGCTGGACACAGAAGTCAGCGGGCAGAGTGCTTGCCGAGCGCAGCACCTCATGTGCCAGGCGTGGGAGTGCACGCCTGTAATCTTAGCGTGGGAGTGGAAGTAGGAGTATCAGCGATTGAAAGTTATCCTCATTACATAGTTCAGGAGCATGAGAGAGAAAGAGAGAGAGAGAGAAGGAAAAGAAATTCTGAGGATTAGGTATGTGTGGTAATCCATCTGCCACCTGTGCCCAAACCTAGAATATTGCTACCAAACACCATCATTAAAAATGTGAATGAATTGTGCCGGAAGTGAGGCACGCACTCACATCTTTAATCTCAGCACTCGGGAGGCAGAGGCAAGCAGATCTCTGAGTGCAAAGCCAGCTTGATCTACACAGCAGGTTCCAGGAGAGCCTGAGCAGTGAGGCTGTGGGCCCTTGAGAGTTGGGGTGTGTGGGGAGGGGTGAGTGAAGGATCTGGGTGCCATCTCCATATATGCATGGCTTAGCTTTTGTCTTCCTTCCTGGAGTCCATGTATCAGGAGATCAGGTGGGCAGATGAGGCAGGCGTACCTTCTCAGTCTGCTGTAGCAGATGGTGTCTTTTGCTCTGGACAGTCCTGTCTTCCTGTTAACTTTCAGTCAAAGGACACTGCTGTTTTTCCTGATCAGTTGAATAAGCAAGAGCCATTTTCACCTAAACTCGGACCTCTGTTGCCTGCCATTAGCGTTCATGTTTTGTGAGTGAGAGAAGAAGGAATCCTGTCACTTCCTTGCCTGCTGTTCGGAGCCGAAAGGAATTAGTCCCAACTCACCTGCACTTGCCTTCTGAGAGCAGTGTTTTATCTGCCTTCTCTCCAGTTCTGCCTTAGCAAATCCTGAAGGGTTTTCTAGTGTGGAAATCCTGGGTTGTGAGGGGAGGCCTGCCTGAGATTCGAAGTTTCCAGAAAATAATTTCCTAGTCATTAAAATTTGCTTGGGTAATTAACAGCAGGCGCATGGGTAGTGTGTTTGGAATACTTGTCAGAATAAAATGGTGGGCAATGTTATTTCAAGCTGATGTTTAATCTTTGCTATTACAGTGATCTTTTGTTTTCTTTAGGCAGTTAATTGCTCATCTGCAAGTCTTCTCTAAGTTTTCAAACCCACGGGCCTTATATCTAGAGTCCAAATTATACGAATTGTATCTTCAGGTATGTTGAGTAAATGCTCAGTGCTTTAATCCTTGCAAACTTCCTCTCCCTTTCTTTACCAGAGTAACTTGGGGTCCCACAGCCGGGGATGGGGCCCATTTCCACATCGTAAGTGCTGGTTTTGTTAATAGGCACACTTTAAAAAATCATCTTAATGTACAGTTTCAGATTACACTCATCTAGTTGGCTTTAAGTCCAGCTTCAGGAGTGACTGACACCGGGCAGCCGTATTAGCAGCAAGGACAGTGAATCGCACATCCCAGAGAAGGGTGGGGACTTGGATTTCTGCATCTCTTCGACGGAATGAGAGCGGATAAGGGAAATGCTGTGATTCTAATGTTTGTCCCCAACTCTAGAAAATGCAGTGCTAGAAGCAGACAGAGCGAGTGTTGGGTTGTCGTTCTAATCCCTCTGCGGAAATGATGTTTCCTCATTTGTGGGTGGTCTTCTGGTGGAGCTTCGTCTGCCCAGCAGACTTTGTCCAGGCTCAGCACACAATTCACACAGACCTTATTAGAAAGCCTGAGCTCAGAAGCCTCCTCCAGGTAACGGTGGGACCACAGCCAAGTCCTCTCCGGATATCACACTGACCATTAGCTCTATAGTATGGGATGTCCTTGTCCCGAGACCAGCCCTGTTGGTTCAGGTCAGAGTTAGTTTCTTCCTTCCTTCCTTCCTTCCTTCCTTCCTTCCTTTCTTTCTTTCTTTCTTTATAGAGCCTTGCTATTTGGTTTGTTAAACAGATTTCTGTCTCATGGTTTGTGTATGCATTGCTTCGTTAACTTATTCTGTAAAATCTCATTTCCAGTTATTGCTACACCAAGATCAAACTGTGCAAAAAATAACCTTGGATTGCATAATGACCTACAAACATCCTCATATCCTACCTTACAGGTGAGCTATGTAGGCCAAAGAAACATTATTTCCTTTTACCTAGAGCCACTTCTGAAATAATACCTGAAAGGCCTGAGAAATTCCCCTCTTCCAAAGTAACCATTTCTAGGCAAGAAATGAAAACCAGAAGTATATTTGTTGAATTATTCTCTATAGATAACAACGTGGAAAAGAGATTCTTAATGTAAAAATGTGTTGGGAAGTGGTAGCATTTCTCTGTTGATGTAATTACGTAAAATCTTTGTGGTTACCACTCTTGGTGTCGTTGCTCCTAAGCCCGGGGTTAGGGACCAGCTCTAGCTCCTCTAGCCCATTTATTCACCTCCTGAGATCTGAGGATCGTTTTGGGAGGACTGCCCTACAGAATGGGGACCTCAACATGAACTACCGAGTGTGTTGCTTTCAGTTGTGCTTGCGAATGTTGCTCCTCCCGTCTCTGGAAAGTGCTGTGGCCCCAGTGCTGACGCATGTGAATCTGTTCGCAGGGAAAACCTGCAGAGGCTGCTAGACGACCGCAGCTTTAAGGAGGAGATCGTGCATTTCAGCCTTTCCGAAGAGAGCGCCGTGGTCAAAGCTGCCCACCGGGCGGACTTGTGTCCAGTTCTCATGAGGTATTTATACTATTTAAAATGTGAATATAAGCCAGGCGGTGGTGGCGCACACCCTTAATCTCAGTACTTGGGAGACAGAAGCAGGCAAATTTCTTAAACTCAAGGCTAGCCTGATCTACAGAGCAAGTTCCAGGAAGGTCAGGACTACACAGAGAAAGCCTATATTGAGAAACAAAAACAAAAAACAAAAAATAGTTCTAATACAGTCATGTGATTTTATTCTTTTCTTTAAGTGGGGTCTCCTGATAGCCCAGGCTATCCTGAGACTCACTGAAGATGACCTTACTGTGCTTAGTTTTATGCAGACTGGAGATCAGAACCAGGCCTTTCTTTGTGCTGGGCAAGCACTCTGCCTGCAGAGCCTTCTTTCCAGCCCTGTGTTTTTCTCTTCTTTAGTTGGGTCTTTTGGACGGCGGCACCAGACCGCACTAGTCGTTCTCTGTGGGCAAATGATTGGGGACAAAGTGAAGACAGGATCCTCTGTCCTGCGAATGCTCTGGGCATGGCTCTCCTTACTGTTTGTGTGCCGAAGGAGGATGTGGTCACGAGAAGCTCCTGCTGCAGGCTGCGTAGCTCAGGGATGACGTCTGTGCGAGGGGGCTACAGTCTGCACTGGCTGCCTTTTTCCCTCCGGGCAGCACCGCTTTTATTTGAAAACCTAGATAATGAAGTATCATTCTTTTTATACCTGGTGTTTTCGCGGGTTTTCTGAAGCATGAATGCAGTGAGTTTGACAAAGCGAAGAGAACAAACAGCAGAGGTTGTTTCAGATTACTAAATTTTAACAATCAAATGAAAATGAGGATTTTGGAAAACTTGGAGTCTGTTCTGTGAACATATAACTTCCCAGGAATGTGGAAGCCTGCCTGGTGAGGCGGATGATTGTATTTCTAAACGTTGGTTAGGAGGCCTCTTTTGGCTGATCAGGAGAAGTATCAGCCGTTGACATTTCTACATGACTTGTTCTCTCACTGTTTTTCAAGTAACGGGTGCATGTTACAGAGTCGGGTGTGCACAGCTCAAGTAACGGGTGCATGTTACAGAATCAGTGTGCACAGCTCAAGAGGAATGGATTTTAGTGAAACAGTTTATAGAGTATGTTGATAGAGTTCCCTGTTCCATGTCCAGTGATTGCCATTTGTTTGGTATCAAAATGGAATAGCCAAAATTACTGTAACATGGAGGGCTTTCCTCCCACCCCAGTGGATTAGATGCTGATGCCATGTGAACATCTGGTCATCATCATCTCTTAAACCAGTCAGAAATAAAACAGCCTTTAGTCTCGTGAATGCTGAGATGTAATTATTTTTTTCATTGAAAAGTTATTTATATTAACCTGTAATAAACATGATGTTTTACTTAAGTAAATTCATAAAACATTATTTTAAAAATTATTTGGTTTCAGTTTCTAAAAATAGTAACGACCATAGGTAAACTCATTCAGAAGTTCTTTAGGCCTCTACTAGTTTAAAGATGTCTTAATATTAAAAATTTTTAATCATATATTCAAGTTTTGAGTGTCACCAGTTAGTTTTATTGTACTAAAACGTAGCTCTTGGCTGGGTTACGTGCCTTTCATCCCAGCACCCAGGAAAGCAGAAGGTGCTGGTGTCTGCATTACAAGGCAACCTTGTAATGCAACCTGCTGGTCTACACAGCAGGTTCCAGGGCAGACAGCCACCTAATGAGACCCTGTCTCAAACAAACACCATAGCTTTTAGTAAGTGTCTAAGGGTTTGGGGGGTGGATGCTGCCTACTGTTACTAAGGGGGTGGATGCTGACTGACTACTGTTACTAAGGGGGTGGATGCTGACTACTGTTACTAAGGGGGTGGATGCTGACTGACTACTGTTACTCAGGGGGTGGATGCTGACTACTGTTACTAAGGGGGGTGGATGCTG